ATATATATATATATATATATATATATATATTATATATAATATATATATATATAATATATGTATGTGTGTATGTATATGTGTGTATATACTACAGTTGAATTTAATGTGATTATAGTTTAACATTGACCTGTTACAACAATGAGCTCCCGATATAGCACACACACACAAATACAAGGTACTTACATAGTCAGTGGGTGACATGTCACTTGCACGTTTCCCAGCCAGCAATGCAAAACCTGGAACGGTCACCTTCACACCATCCTAAAAACAATGAAGAAACTAAAACTAGAGCCATATTCAGTGAACTGTCCACAGCCTATAGATCTATCTGCAGTTCTTTAAAAAACCCACAAAGCTAAGTATTGTGCAACACCTATCGTGATAGGCCACGTCAGGACAACATGTCACGACAACCCTTTTTTTACAATTCTATTCATAACAACAGTGATCTCTTGATACCATCTCTTGAGGAACCTCCGGATATATTTAAATTGTGTTTTCACTGTAGCATCATCATTAATCAATACCCACAAGAACCTGTCTGACTTGGCTGGCTCAATCTGAGCTATATGTCAGAAGGTAAGACTTGTGTAGGGGAGTGCATCAAACCCAGCATTATCAGTTCCAACGAGTTTAAAACTGAACAGTGAAGTTGGACATTATCGGACAACTTTGCTCAATAATTTTCTACTAACGAACTTGGTTGATGGTAACAGACAACTTTGCTGAATAATATTCATAATAAACACACTTGACTCTACTACTACCACTCCGCTCCTCACACCACTGCCATGCCGTACCTACTGCTCACAGCTTGCTCTAAAATACTGACTACGTCTCCTCAGCACACTCCATGCTACCACTGCCACACTTGACTCTATACTACTACCACTGCACCACACTCCATGCTACACTACTGCTCACACTTGACTCTAATACTACTAGCCACTCCTCCAACACACTCCATGCTACACTATTGCCCACACACTTGACTCTACACTGACATGACCACTTCCTCACACCACTCGCAATGCTACAACTACTAGCACACTTGACTTACCACATAACTCTACCACTTCTCACACACTCCATGCTACACTACTGCACACTTGACTCTAATAGCTACTACCACTCTCTCACACACCCATTGCTACACTACTGGCCAAAACTTTGACTCCTACAACACTACTACTACTCCCTCACACACTCCATGCTAACACTACTTGCCACACTTGACTCTAATAACTACTACCACTCCTCACACACTCCATGCTCTACACTACTGCCACACTTGACTCTAATACTACTACCACTTCTCCATGGAGTGTGTCTACACTACTGTCACACTTGACTCTATCACTACTACTGCTTCTCACACACTCCATGCTACACTACTGTCACACTTGACTCTAATACTACTACCACTCCTCACACACACACTCCATGCTACACTACTGCCACACTTGACTCTACCACTACTACCACTCCTCACACACTCCATGCTACACTACTGCCGCACTTGACTCTAATACTACTACCATTCCTCACACACTCCATGCTACACTACTGCCACACTTGACTCTAATACTACTACCACTCCTCACACACTCCATGCTACACTATTGCCACACTTGACTCTAATACTACTACCACTCCTCACACACTCCATACTACACTATTGCCACACTTGACTCTAATACTACCACTCCTCACACACTCCATGCTACACTACTGTCACACTTGACTCTACCACTACTACCACTCCTCACACACTCCATGCTACACTATTGCCACACTTGACTCTAATACTACTACCACTCCTCACACACTCCATGCAACACTACTGCCACACTTGACTCTAATACTACTACCACTCCTCACACACTCCATGCTACACTACTGCCGC